GTGGGAGTATGTGTGTGTACACTTGCATGTGTATGTATTTCCGATGGAATGGATTTGGGGTCCAGTGCAAATTGGGGCTTCTATCAAGATCTGAATGCAGTTGCCATGAATTTAAATTTGACATAAAGGATTGAAAATGGAGTTTGACACCAAAGATGTAGAGTGCAGAGCAGTGCCAGAGTGTTTTCAATCGAGTTTGATGAAAGGGGCTGAATGTGTCAGGTGTTGTCACAGCACCAGCACAGGGCCCCTGTGTTTGGGTGTGTTAAGTTTAGCTGGTTAACTACACATAATGTTTTTAAGTTGGTCCCTTGGCAATGACACTGGCATCTTAAGATCATGTAGCAGTTCAGACTTCTTTGGGTTTTTTCCCCATAGTTAAAATGCCTTCCAACATATTCAGCCCATCTACAACAGGAAAAGATTATTCCTTGCCCTCCTCTTATTGTTCCAATGATCTGATGTTGTAAAAGCCTGTCATTAGGAAAGTCACAGCGCACATTTCTTGCCCAACAAGCCTCTGTTTTGGAGACACAAACTGGATATAAAATACAGGAACTAAAATGGTTTTTCTCCAACACAAAAACCTTCTCAAAGCAATGACCAAGCTTCACCTTTATGTGTCAACTGCCATTATTCTCTATGACTATAGTGCATTCTTTAGTGCATGGTACTAAACTCTCACCACCTTTGCAGCCAAGTTGCTCTAACCCTCCATCTATGCCAGTCAAGCAGATATACAGGTATAGTTGGAAAGATGTTTCCAGAACTGATATAACTAGTCTCTGAAACATTTGCTTCCCCATAGCTGAGCTCAGGCCAGGGCCTCAATCTGTCTTTTGAACTTCTGCCAGAGCCAGTTAGTGCCACTGCTATACAGCAGTGTACTTCCAATCCTATGATATCACTCATCTGGAAAAACATCTGGGTGCCAGCTGCAGCAGAATGGAGGGTCCTACATCTGGAAAAATGAGGCTCCCTTTAAATCATCATATCAGGTTTGCACTTTTTGTCAGCACGGTATACCGATAGTCACATGCTTATCCAAAAGATCTGGTTTGCCTATCTCCCGTAGAGAGTTAGGTTTTGGTTCTTTATGGAGGATTGGAACAGTCATCAGCAACATCATGCTGAACATTATAAATGAAAGCAAGAGGCCCTGACAGGAACCTTTCAGAAAGTCCTCAGCAGCAGAAATAAGCCATTCAAAGATGGAGGGAGAGATCCAAGTTTGCAATGGGGCAAATAGGATGTGTCCCAGCCCTTTTGTAAAACAGCAAGAACTTGGTTCATTCTAAGTGACAACAGCAGATTACAGTACAAAAGTTTCAGTTTATATATGGTGATCTACAAATGTACTTGCCTGCCTCATTTATGGCTTTTTTTTTTTTGTGGATGGGAACACAACTCACCC